ATCCAATTTAGTAACTTATCGATACCCCACACCTATAGATATAATTTTTACTGAGACTTTTATGTGGCGCCTTGTCAATTAGTAGATCTACTTATTTACGTGCTCTAATGTAAATCAATGCCAAATTTCGTGTCCTCTTTAGGGGACTTCCCTTGTTTTCGCGAAGTACCCAGTTTCCATAAGAGATGGAATGAAAAAGTTTTGCAAACCTCAGGACCGAGACGATTCTTCTGGTACCATATAGAAGTCGGTGCGACCAGTGTTTTAGGAGGAGCTAGGTGACACAGAGACACTAAATCTTATTATATAGATTACTGTCATATGTTGGTGTGAAATATCGAAGAAGCTACCACTGAAATAATTCTTTAAAGCAGTGTTTTCCAAACTTTAAAAAACTACTACCCCCCCCCCTAAATCAGCAGTTTCCGATTCGCCCCATTTCTATTAAAATCTTAACCTCTAGATGTCGCCTGAACAACATGTCATGTTGAACAATATCCTCTTCGGGCGTAGCAGGTATTATCAATTCCCGAAAACAACAAAAGAACAAGGGTAACTTTAGAGCGAAATAACTTAACGGCTTTCCTGACCACATGTTTTGTAAAACCTGCACATTTACTGAACAAATAATAAATTCAGAATAAATGCTATAATATTACAAGAGGATGAATCGCGTGGTGTATTAAAATATCACAAGCTGTGTAATAAACTTCAGTGCCTGTGTGTTTGTGTGTCAAGTAACTCCTCCTAAACCACTGGCCACACCGACCTCCAAGTGGTACCAAACGAACTGTCCTGGTCCTGAGGTTTGTACAAAGGAAAAACTTTTTATTCCATCCTTGTGAGTGTTATTGGTAAAGTATTAGAGATTTGTGAATAAGACTTTCTTTCTATGAGATTAACAATTACTTAATAGTTGTAAATGATTATATTGGTACTGCTCTCAGCGCATGTCATGCAGGTTGATTCTTAAATTCCAATCTATTTTCAACCCCATAATTTTTATCTTCAATGATTTTATTTTAATAAGAGAAACATATTAAATAGGAGTTCCATGAGAATCTGTAATTAGTCAATTGCTTTTAGGTGAACGTTTAGGTAATATTTACTTTAATTGATTGACAAGCTACAACAGCATATGTTTTTAATATATTGATGGTATTTCCCTCTGGGTAAACTAGGCGTGGCCTAGAGGTTAGCGGACTGGTCTGTAAATATGTCTGGGTGGCTTTAGACTTTGGGGTAATAGATGCGTTATAATTGTGAGGCCCGGCATGGCCAGGTGGTTAGGGTA